GAATTTTCAGTAAGACCACTTACAAATATTCTGTAATATAACCTCCACAGTGTTTCTAATTTTGTTCCTGGTGATATAAAGATTACTGCTATATTGATCTGATTTCCTTTATTACACATTTTATGTCTGCCAAAATTATTTCAAAATACCTTTCTTTGTCAAACCCTCAATTTCATGACATCACTAATTTTTTTAAAACATTTGTTTTGGAATATCTTCATCTTAAAGAAAATGGGGTTTATTTCCAGTCCTCACCCATGTATTCCTGCATTCATAGAACATGAAAGCTCTACTATCCTGTTTATTTGTTTGAATCAATGTTCCGAGATATCCTGTATATAAGGAGGTTATCATCTGATATTGGAAGGACATAGTCATGAACAATATTATAAAAAATATTTAGTAATCAATATGGCATGGGCACTTAATAAACAGATGTATCAGTCCAGTTATACACAAGTAGACAGTTGATGATTTCTACATAATGTATCTCCTATTACAAACAGTTTATTTCCTGAGAGGTGCAACCTGATGCTTCCCACTGCTGCCTAGCAAAATTCCTAAATCTTTACATCTTTAGAGATTTGAAAATATTTCTTAGTGTAGTGGTCACAGGTGTTGTTTTTTCCTTCCACAATCTTTCTTTTCCCATCCCATCAACGGTGAAGGACACCCAGAAACTGACTGACAGAAGCCTAGTATCTGCAGAGGAAGATAATAGAAATAGACGTGGTTGGACAACTAATAGTAGTAGTAAAACTAGATACAGTGGGACAGTAGAAGAAGTAGAAGTAGAAGAATTGGACAACTTCCTTTACAAGCTGAGTAAATTGTCGTGATGGGTTAAGTCTCAGGCTCAGTCACTTGATTTCCATATGCCAGCCTCTGGGACAAGACAAATGGTACAGGCTCCTCCAGATGACAAAGGGTAGATGTGTCACTGAATTCTGGGGACAGTCAACCATGCAGAAATAATCCAAAAGTATTCATTCAAAGACCTTGTCATTCCAAGCACCTTTCTAAAAGCATTCTTCATGTCCTTATTCCTGAGGCTGAAAATGAGGGGGTTGAGGAACGGGGTAATGATAGTGTAAGTGACTGCTATCAGTGTGTCATCTCCCCCTGAGGCTTCAGCCTTCAGATAAGCAATAGACGCAAAACCAAAGTGGATGGCGACCACTGTGATGTGGGAGGCACAGGTAGAAAATGCCTTCTGCTTGCCCTCAGCTGAAGGGATCCTGAGGACAGTGGACAGAATGAAAACGTAAGTGAGGAGGATGAGCAGGAAGGTGCCCAGCAAGCCTGACGCTGGGATAAGGATTATAATAAATTCTGTGAGGTCACTGTCTATACAGTTCAGCCTCACAACTTCCCTCATATGGCAGAAGAAGTGTTTGACAAGGTTGGGGCTGCAGAAAGAGCCCCTGAATATGAGTGCAGTCTCTATCAGAGAGACAAAGAAGCCTCCAGCCCAAGCATAGGCCACAAGTTGTCCACATACCATGTTGGTCATAAGCAGGGGATATCTGAGAGGGTTGCAGATGGCCAGGAAGCGATCATAGCCCATCAATGTAAGGATGAAACAATTACTGCCACCAAATCCCAAGAAGAAACACAACTGCAAGCCACAACCCATGACTGAAATACTTCTACTTTTGGCCAGTAGATCTGCCAGCATCTTGGGGATGATGGCCATGGTGTAGCAGGTCTCAGAGAAGGAGAGTGCACTGAGGAAGAGGTACATAGGGGTGTGGAGAGCTCTGTCCACCCAAGTAAGACCCATGATGGCCAGGTTACCTGTGAGGGTGAGAAGGTAGAGGCAAAAGAAGACCACAAAGAGGAGTGTCTGTACATGTGGGTAAACAGAAAAGCCAACAAGAATGAATTCCTGTAGGATTGTCTGGTTGATCTTCATTATTTAATGTCTGATATCTGAAAGAAACAAGAAATAAACATTTAACTCTCCATTATTCTTTGAAAACTGCGATGTGAGTGAGACAAATGATCAGAGTTACAATTACCAACTGATTTTTCATTTATTTTACCAAAACACCATATATGCATAGATGATGTGTTCTCCTAATTGTTCTTTCATTCATATCTTATTTATTCAGCAATGAATTATTGATTAATTACATGACAAGAGGACTTTTCCCGGCCTTTTTTCTTTTAAGACTTTTATTTGACTGGTAATACAATAGGGCAAAAATATTCTAATTGATGGCCAGATGAAGGAGATGCAGGTGCATCAGGAGAGCCCGAAATGAATCAGATTCTGAATACTGGAAAAGCTACCTAGTAGCTAACAGACAAACAGAGTCAAGGTCCAACACAATACCTTCCACATATTATATGGTCTGTAAATATCTACTGAGTGAATGTTGATCATTGATTTATAGTAATAAGGGGACCAAACTTAGACAATGGCTTGTAATTTTTAGAGAAGCCTAAAGTCATTGTTTCTTCTTGGAGAAGAGAAATATTAAAGAAAAGTAAAGAACATGCTCCCTTTCCTCCACTGTGAGGAGAGGGGAGGAAGATAGGATATCCCAGGACCCTTAGGATTAACAGTGATTAATTAGATTATGTTGTTAGTATTGATAAACAGACCCTTTATGCAAGCATAGTGCAGACTGCAATTGAGATTTTGCCCATTTCTTCAATGCCAAGCTTGGCATCTGAAAATGATAAATGCTAGTCATTCTATGAAATCTTTGCTAATTCTACACCCGATTTAATCTCATCTTCCTCTGACTTCTACATCATGTTATTTTTCCTTATATTTAACAAACTCCTTCAGCTTTGTATTATATCATGCTATTGTTGTCCTGTCCCAGCTGCCAACATATTTAATAACTAGCATTTATAGAGTCTGCATTTTGCCATATTCTTTCAAATGTTTTATTGAGGTGTGCAGGTGTGCAGGACAGCTGTGAAATGTGTAGGAGAACTGTGATTATTTTACTTCTTTTAGAAATAAGATAATTGTGTGTATGAAATGGCATATTTGTAACTAGAATAAATCCTGTCTTGACTTTAATTGTATATTCTTTTCATTTATGAATGCTTTTTTTCTCTGTCATATATTTCTGTGTTTCTCAGGGTGATAATATAGAGCATTTTAAGAAGGCAATAATTCCCAGTAAATGTTGGATAGATAGGTTAATCAGCAAAGAAGTGTTGAAGCTATCAACAATTTCTGTTTCCCTTAGCTGTTTAGCACTGCTCAGAATGTGATTTTGAGCATGGAGATGAACAGACTTTCCAATCCTAATTAAATTTAGTTCAGGCTAAGAATAAGCACTCTCATGGCAGAATGTGACTGATCACTGAGAGTCAGAAGAGGCAGTAGGAAAATGGTCTAAATTATAAATGTTTCCAAAAATAATCCACAGCCCTATGCACTCTGCCTTTTAGATCCCTTTGATTCTTTCATCCTGTTAGAGCTGACAAGAGCCTTATTCTTTCATAGTCATGCATGAATCACATGACAATCTTTTCTTATCTCGTATCTTGCTCTTTTCCTGATTCCTCTTCCTCTTTTCCTATTTCCGTCTTTCTCCCACTGTATCCACACCTTCTTATCTGTGAATAATTATCTCCCCCAAAAAAGACAAGTATTTTTCTGTCTTCTTGCCTAAGGAAGACAGGCACACCCTTTCCAAAGTCAAAGAGAAATGGTAATTTGGAGAACATGTAGTGACAATAAATTATCTTGAATAGAGAGTCAAACCATTTAGAACAGTTTCCTACCTTGTGTATTTTGTCAGGGCTCCAAAGCCAGTTCAGTGTTGCAGTCATTTTCTTCCAGGACAGTCTTCACATTGTTGGAGGGATGCTTTGTTCTCCACTCAAAAGAGACAGAGTTTGACTTACTATGAAAATCACTGGTCTAAGAGTCTCAATTCTTAACTTTACCACTGCTAGTTCAGTGACGTTGGGAAAGATGCTGCACCTTCTGGGTCTAAGTTTCCCCAGCTGGGAAGGGAGAAAAAGGTCCTGATTTGGTACAAGCTTCAGCTTTCTATGACTCTAGAGTCTTTTGTCATGAGTTGTGAGGCTAAGCAATATGTGCTGTGATCAGTTCTCACCACTCACTAAACCACGATGGTTTAGAGTCGTTCCTTCTACCAGTTTAGAGATATTGTCTAATTATCATCAGCTCCTGAGGTTCCTCAGCTCTAGAGTTTTGGTTCTGGTTAGGATACCAGAGGGAATTCCTTTCGTCTTTCTTCAGAGGGAGCAAGAGAATTTTTCCACTCAATTTAGTAATTTGTTCCCCTTAGTTACAGGGCTTTGTGTAGCTTGTGACTTGTAAAATTCTCTGGGAATCTCTGGGGATTTAAAATTTGCAAAGTTCATATTCTGCCCATAAACAGGGCTTGCTGCTGTTTCATAAATTTTGTTTTGGCTGGGAAGAGAGTGCGTGAGAATTTGCATCTCTAATGGTCATTCAATTTGCTCTCCCCCTTACCACAAACACATTCTTTCCCTCTCAGAATCCCTTCCTGGGTATTAAGAAGGGCTTACAGTGTTTAAAGATTGTACTATGGGAGAAGTCATAAAAGTGTAAGGAATAGTATCTTCTTACAGGGATTTATACTACAGCAGTGGAAAGAAGATAGTGCCCATGAAAATTGAATTACAGTAGTCCACCTTTATCCATGTGGGATACGTTCCAAGATCCCCAGGGGATGCCTGAAACCACAGCCAGGACCAAACCCTATATATACTATGTTTTTTCTGTATATACATGACTATGATAAAGCTTAACCTATAAATTAGGCACAGTAAGATATTAACAACAGTAACTAATAATAAAATAAAAGAATTATAACAATATACTGTAATAAAAGTTATGTGATTGTGATCTTTTTCTCTCAAAATATTCTGTACTGTACTCATGCTACTTTTTGTGATTCTGTGAGATGATACAATGCCTACACGATAAGCTGAAGTGAGGCGAATGCCATAGGTATTGTGATGTAGTGTTAGATTACTATGGGCCTTCTGACGATATGTCAGAAGGAAGATCATGGAGCCATGATGATGTTGATGGTTGGATGTCAGGAGCAGATGATGTCAATGGTTACTTGAACACAAGCATTGGGATACCTCAACAGTTGATCTCATAACTGAGAGGGCTACTAAGTGACTAGTGGGTAGGTAGTATGGGTAGTGTATATCCGTAGGTACACTGAGCAAAGGGATGATTCATGTCTCAGGCAGGATGGAGCAGGATGGCATGAGATTCATCAGGCTACTCAAAATGAGTGCAACTTAAAATTTATGAATAGTTTATTTCTGGAATTTTTCATTTAATGTTTTTGGACCATGGTTGACAGAAGGTGACTAAAATCATGGAAGTGAAACCACAGAGAGAGTGGACTACTGTGTGCTGTAGTGTGTTGAAGACTATAACAGTGAACAGACAAGATAAGACAAAGTGGACCAGGGTAGTCAGAGAAGGTGCCATGGAGGAGGAGTATCAGGAAAGATGTCAAAAATTATTCAAGTTCCTGGTAGGATATAATATCTCATTGTAGTCCAGCACTTCCAATTATGTAATGACTACATAGAATTGGTTAAATAAAGGTATTTCAAAAGTATATAATATATTCACAATGAGATTTTAAGAACACTTCAAGAATATATATGGATGAGATGTAAGCACTTGAAGAGATATTCCACATTATCAGTCATTAGGCAATACAAATTAAAAACCCAATGTGATTCTATTACACAACTATTGTAATGTCTAAAAATAAAAAAAGATTGACTGGGTCAGACCCGGTGGCGCAAGCGGTTAAGTGCACACGTTCTGCTGCTGCAGCCCCGGGTTCGCCTGTTCGGATCCCAGCGCGCACCGATGCACCACTTGGCAAGCCATGCTGTAGCGGCATCCCATATAAAGTGGAGGAAGATGAGGCATGGATGTTAGCCCAGGGCCGGTCTTCCTCAGCCAAAAAAGAGGAGGATTGGCAGATGTTAGCACAGGGCTGATCTTCCTCACAAAGAAAAAAAGATTGACTATACTAGTGTTGGTTAGGATTTGGAAGAACTGTAACTCATATACTGCTGAGTAGGGATGTAAAAAGCATAAAATAGCTAGGAATTTGGGAAAATACTTTGCCAATTTCTTGAAAAGATTAATTTGTTCAGATTCCAGAAAAACATGGTATATATTCACTTTGCTCTGCTCACCTCTCTAAATACAGCTAAATCACTTGGAAATAATTCAACAGACAATAATAAAATGACTCTGCAAGGTGAATAGCAGAACATTATTGACTGTAATTAATAATACTGTATTGCATATTTGAAATTTGCTAAGAGAGTAGATCTTAAAAGTTCTCATCACAAGAATAAAAAAACTATGTAACTATGTACGGTGACTTTCGTTAACTAGACTTATTATGATGATAATTGTACAATATATACAAATATTGAATCATTACATTGTTCACCTGAAAGTAATATAATGTTATATGTGAATTATATTTCAATTAAAAAAATAAATAAGTAGTTTTTTTTAGAAGGAGAGTATGGGTTGGCTAGGGACATCAGGACTTGAAGAATGATACAACAATGAATTCTCAAAGATATTTTCTTATCCCCCATATAACCCAGACTGAGATGTAGAGAACCCTGTGACTTGCAACCTGAAACTATAAACAGGCCTAGGTAAAACCAAAAAAAAGTAAAATAAAAGTAAAGTAAAAAGTAAAAGTAAAGTTCATTCTCTCTGGTAAAGGATCAAGAAAGGAGAAGCCCAACAGAGACTTAATAGGGAGACCCATAGCCACTGGCAGTGGGAAGCCTAATATTCTTGCACCTGAAGTGTCAGCAGAGCTGATATCCTAACTCAGTCTCCACCTCACAAAAGCCAACCAAGCCTTGTCTGCCCATAGTAGCATTGCTAGCAGAGCCAAGGGGGTAATCTACCCTCCACCTC